AAATTGAACGTTGCAGTTTTTCATATGTTTTCCCTTGTTGGGTCTGGAGAAGGAATTCTACTTTGATCTGCATAGAAAAACATGATATAATCTTTGGAAAGTTCTTAAGTGAAATATTTACCCATTAAAAAGGAAGCAGAAATACTGAGAAGTGAAAGGCATTATCAACTAACTCTGGTTTTAAACTGAACCCATTCTAACATATCTTATATGAAATTTTTAAAAATAAGTTAATAATTCACCTCATATCAACAAAAGCCTTTGAAACATGGGTTTTCACTAGATATCACCTAGTGCTAAGATAAAAACCAAAACAATATCAGAATGACATTTATGCTCTAAATTCGTAGTTGTCCAATGTGCTTAGTAAATGTGTGTCATTAATGCTGTATTCTCCTAGCTATTATAGAATATTGTTTAAATAAAGATATGAATATAAAGGGTTTTTGTCAATGTCTTATAAATAAACCCACTGCACATTTTAAAACATCAAAACAAGTTGTTTTCCTAGAGACTGGTGAATGTAAATATAACCTCTCCTCATGAGAATATTCTAAGGAGTTGCAGGAATTTAAAAGTTGGCAAGTTACCCTTCTATACTAGAAAACATAGTGATATATATGATGAAGAAGGGAATTGCCAAACAGTGAAACAAACAAGCAAACAAAAACAATTGAGGAAAGGAAGCATCTTTTCTTCAAGAGGAAGTTATGCCTAAATATACTGGAATTCTTTGACAGAGAAATAGACATAGCCAAGGAGCATTTGATATAATCTACTTAAAATTTCAAAAGATTCAGGATGTGATTTATATCAAAGGTTCTACTTTTAATAGAGTAGGAGAGTGGACAAATTTGTTTACATTGGAGAGAGATCAAAGAAGTATGTAGATGTACTTCTTTGGATAGAGAAACAGAGCAGGATTATTGAGATCTGTGATTGAATTAGTCTCACCTTCATTTATAGTAAGAAATGAATACAGTCATGCGCCACATAACATTTTGGAGCAACGATGGGCGGAATATACGATGGTGGTCCCATAGGATTATAAGACAATATTTGTACTGTACCTTTTCTGTTTAAATATGCTTAGATACACAAATAGCATTGTGTTACAGTTGCCTACAGTATTCAATACAGTAACATGCTGTGCAGATTTGTAGCCTAGGAGCAAGAAGCTATACCTTATATAGCCTAGGTGTGTAGTAGGCCACCATCTGGGTTTGTGTAAGTACACTCTGTGATGTTTACACAATGATGAAATTGCCTAATAATGCATTTCTTAGAGCATATCCCTGTCAAGTGACACGTGACTGTACATGGTTTTTGTGTAGATTATACACTTCCTACCTCTATGCCATGACACATTTATTCATTGAACTCATTTATTAAGCACTTTTCTGGGCACCATGACAGGCCTTAGAAATATAGCAGTATCCAAATTAATTCAGTTACTGGCTCAATGGACTATAGTCGAGCACTATGGTCCCAACCCCTGTTAGGAACCAGGCTGCACAGCAGGAAGTGAGTGGCAGGCAAGTGAGCGAAGCTTCATCTGTATTTACAGCCTCTCCCCATCGCTGGCATCATTGCCTGAGCTCTGCCTCCTGTCAGATCAGTGGTGGCATTAGATTCTAATAGGAGCATGAACCCTACTGTAAACTGCACATTCAGGGGATCTAGGGTGCACGCTCTTTAGGAGAATCTGATGCCTGATGATCTGAGGTGGAGCTGAGGTGGTGATGCTAGTGCTAGGGAGCGGCTGCAAATACAGATTATCATTAGCAGAGAGGTCTGACTGCACAATAAATGTAATGTGCTTGAACCATCCTGAAACCATCTCCCCCCTCACCGCTGGTCCATGGAGAAATTGTCTTCCATGAAACCAGTCCCTGGTGCCAAAAAGGTTAGGGACTGCTGGTCTGGTGGGACATCAGGATGTTACAAGAAGTGAAATGTCAAAATTTGCAGAACAGTTTCTTTTTCTAAATAAATTGGAACTGAGTCAAGGTTATGGTCCCCATAATAAAATCTCTCTCATCCAGTTCCATCTTGATACGTTCATTAGGATTCTTTCTGAGGCAAATGACAAAAATCAAACTCAAACTAGCTTAACCAAGAAGTAAATACATTACTTAACATAAATTCAGGGATATATCCAGGTGCCCAAACATTGGCATCAGGGATCTCAGCTTTTCTTTATTTGGGCCTCATTCTTAGCCAGGTCCACCCCCAAGTGACAAAGATGGCCCTCAGGAGTGTTTGGCTTCATTCCGTGGCTCTGCCTTCTAGCCTCTTTCTCAATGTTGCCAGTAAGACATTCCAAGATGGAGTCTCATTGACTGGTTTGAGTTCTACATCCATCCTCAGCACAATCACTGTGTCCAGAGGAGTGGAGAGTTCTGATTGGCCTAGCCTGAGCCATCCCCCACCACTGAAACTAGAAATTAGGTCATCTTCACGGAAAACACAGGACTGATGAGGTGGTAGTGGGAGTTCATCAGAGGAAAGATAGGATATAGCTAACAGAAAATGAAAACAACACGTGTCTACTATATACATTCTCCTGAATGGGTGAGAAAGAGAAAGGAACTGTGTACAGCCCTAGGTGTGAGCCATGTACACGAAAGTGTAATGCTGCAGCTTCCCAGGTGCTCTTAGCAGTCAGTGTGAGTGTACAGAGAAGTGAGTGAGCAAGGTGTTACACGACTGAAGAATTCTGAGAGTTTACCACCCAGGAAAGGGACCTGGGAGTAATATGGTTTGTCCACTAAACACTGATTCCTGGGCTGCTGGAACTAAAATATGATGGACATTGTTCGAAAGGAGAGAAATAAAACCTGTCATACAGACCTTATTAGCACCATGTTGGCCACTGTGAGCAGTTCAGGTCATTGAGTTTCAAGCAAAACACAGGGAAATATAAAAGGTTGAGAAGAGGATAAAAGATCATTGAAGGAACAGGATACTGCCCATAAAACATTTTGAAAATCCTGAGACAATTCAGTCTGGAGAAACGAAGGCCAAGAAGTCAAGAATGCGAGCAAGTGCTATGAAATTATGCTTGGCGCAGATAAGGAAAACATGAATTATTCACCCAGACCTAAATATTGTGGTAAGTAGATGTATTCTGAAACTTCAGCAAAGTTACTGAAAAAGAAATAAAATACTAGTTTGTGTTGTCAGTAGTAAACTTCTGAAACTCATTTCCTAAGAATTTGTATTATCAAGAAACTTAAATGAATTTGAACAGAGTTTGGTCAATGCTACTTGAGACCAAAAAAAAAAAAAAAAACTGGGTTATATCAAACCTTTAGGTTATAATCCAAGAAGACAATGTTTCCTTTTCACAGAATACCCATGACCTGCTAAAAACAGGATTCTGGACCAAATGGCCTTTGTGTCTAAGAAGACCCTAGGATGGCAATCACTGTGTGAGAGAATGGGCATCCTGGGGGGCTGGGGTAGGAAGCTTTTATAAATAACCTCATGAAAATGGGAGAATGGGCAGAGGAAAATACAGGTGGGAGTGGGCTTGGTCATAGTGAAATGAGCAAAGAAAGGCCAAAAGCCCATGGAAAACCATTCTTGAGTTCACATTAAATACCATGGGAGAAATATTTCTCACATTTCGAAAGCAGACTTCAGGAGTTTCACTTCTGGCATGACAGCATGAGGAGCTCTGCAGACCCACTTCCTAGTGGGTCTGAACTGGTGAGAATTATTTTAAAGCAAACCAAACCCCTAACCACTAGAAATGCTCCTAAGGGCATACAGCAAATGAAGAAATATTTATTCAAGAAAATACATTAATCTTTATTAGAAGAGTGAGCTTGTAGTATCTGAACCACCCTTCCAAAGGAGCCCAAAATTGACTGGATATTAGATTAGTCTGTGAAGCAATGTACGCCCCATGGCATTATTGAAAGCAATAGAGCAATCAGAGGCAATTAGTGGAGCTTAACAGCTGTGTGTTAAGACAGTCAAAGTGATGCCTGCCAAAACCACTGTCATCCCGGATTAACTGTGGGTATATATAATCAGGCTACACTCCCTGAAGAGCAACACCAGAGGCTTCACACTATAAGAGGTGGAGAGATTAACAAACCCAGTTTATTAATAATAATAAGGACCAGCACCCAGAGTTACTATGTTATCAGAAATGTTCAGATTACATTTATAGGGAAAAAACAAACCAAAACAAGACATGCAAAGAAACAGGAAAGTGTGACCCATACACAGAAAAAAAATCAGGCAACAGAAACTCCTTGCAAGAGCAACCATATGTTAAATTTAACAAAGACTTCACAGTAGCCATTATAAATATGTTAAAAGATAGGCCGGGCGCGGTGGCTCATGCCTGTAATCCTAGCTCTTTGGGAGGCCGAGGCGGGCGGATTGTTTGAGCTCAGGAGTTCGAGACCAGCCTGAGCAAGAGCGAGACCCCGTCTCTACTAAAAATAGAAAGAAATTAATTGGACAACTAAAAATACATAGAAAAAAATAGCCAGGCATGGTGGGGCATGCCTGTAGTCCCAGCTACTCGGGAGGCTGAGGCAGAAGAATAGCTTGAGCCCATGAGTTTGAGGTTGCTGTGAGCTACGCTGACGCCACGGCACTCACTCTAGGCCAGGGCAACAGAGTGAGACTCTGTCTCAAAAAATAAATAAATAAATATGTTAAAAGAACTAAAGAAAACTATGATAAAGAATACATTTGATGAAGGCAGGATTTGAGGGTTGGGACTTTCAGTCCCCCCCACCACAACCTCTGGGCCGGGAGAGGAGAGTAGCTGAAGGTTGAGTAGGTCACCAGTGGCCAATGATTTAATTGGCTGTGTCTGAGTAACGAAGCTTCCATAAAAACCCAAAAAGTTTGGGTTTGGAGAGCTTCCGGGTAGGGGAACATGTGGAGGTTCCTGAAGGGTGATATGCCTGTAGAGAGCCTGGAAGCTCCGTTCTCCTTCCCACACACCTTGCTCTATGCATCCCTTCATCTGTATACTTTATAATACCCTTCATAATAAACGGATAAACATTGTTCCATTATGGATGGAGGGGATGATGGTTACCTTGTTACCAAAAAGAGGTTTGTGTCTGAGGCAGAACTAGATGAACGGCGCAAAAGGAGGCAAGAAGAATGGGAGAAAGTTCGAAAACCTGAAGATCCACAAGAATGTCCAGAGGAGGCTTATGACCCTCGGTCTCTATATGAAAGGCTGCAGGAACAGAAAGACAGGAAGCAGCAGGAGTATGAGGAGCAGTTCAAATTCAAAAACATGGTAAGAGGCTTAGACGAAGATGAGACCAACTTCCTTGATGAGGTTTCTCGGCAGCAGGAACTAATAGAAAAGCAACGAAGAGAAGAAGAACTGAAAGAACTGACAGAATACAGAAATAATCTCAAGAAGGTTGGAATTTCTTCAGAAAACAAGAAGGAAGTGGAGAAGAAAGTGGCTGTGAAACCCATAGACACCAAGAACAAGTTCTCCCAGGCGAAGCTGTTGGCAGGAGCTGTGAAGCATAAGAGAGGCTTCGTCCTGCAAGTCTCTTGGGAACACTTCCCTGAGCGGCCCCTCCACCCACTGCCCCTCAGCCGCAGTCTGCATTGGCATCCTCCCAGGCTTGGGCGCCTACTCTGGGAGCAGCGACTCTGAATCCAGCTCAGACAGTGAAGGCACCATCAACGCCACCGGGAAGATCGTCTCCTCCATTTTCCAAACCAACACCTTCCTCGAGGACCCTAGCTCCTCTGTCCTTCCCAGAGGGAGCTGCTCCCCAAGGGTAGATCGGACCGTTCATTCTGCCTCCAGGCATCACATCTCTCAAAAAACTCCTTTGCCTGCTTCCTGTGTACACTGTGACACTTTTAACCTAATCTAAAAACATGCCAGAATCTACTTGTGGCCCGAATTGTGTTTGGTTCCTTTTCCCATTGCGGTGCAGACGGCCATACCTGTCCCTCTGCCTCCTTCCTCACTGATGTGACGGAATGTGGGGCAAGGCCCTGCAGAAATGCCACTAACAATGCCCTTAGGGAGTCAGGCACCAGCTGGCTTGCAGAGGGGTTTGGGTTTTATTGCTTTCTGGTAGTGTCTTTTTTTTCCTCTCCCAACAGCACAAAGAAGCAAGGGCAGTTATTAGACAGGTATTATTTAAACATTTCTTGTAGATAGACACATTGTTTGGTCCTACTGCATTGTGGAGCATGTGGGGGAAGGGAACTGACCCAGGTGATGAAATGGAGCCCTTCCCTGGAACTAACCAGTCCTTGATGTTGTGTGACTTAAGTAAAGATTATAAATTATATCTGCAGGGGGTGTCACTTAACACTCAGTGTTCATTGTGAAGTTTTTCCTCACCCTTGGCCATTCTTTCTCCCCTCCATCCAGTCCCATTTATGTAGGAGAGGACTGACAACAAGAAAGCTTCCATCTTCTCCTCGGACCTTTTCTCAGACTGGCAAATTATTTTGTTTTTGTTTTGAAATAAAAGATTTAGTTTAAGAAAAAAAAAAAAGAATACATTTGATGAATGACAGCAATGATACAAGGGACAGGAGGGAGGAATTTTGTTATTATAAGGTACTGGTACTACCTGTGAAGTGAAATAGTGTTATGTGAAGATGGACTTGGATTAGTTATAAATGTATATTGCGCACTCTAGGGTAACCACTAGGTAAAAAGTAAAAATAGAAGTATAATTGATATGCTGTGAAAGGAGAAAAAATGGAATCAAATAAAATGTTCAATTAAAACCAGTTAAAACCAGATGGAAGAAAAAGAGTGGAAGATAAAAATAGGGACAAAGTCCAAGGGCAACAAATAGAGTAGTAACAAATATGGTAGATATTAATCCAACTGTATCAATAAGTGATTTAAATCTCAATGACCTAAATACACCAATTAAAAGGCAGAGATTGTAAGAGTGAATCAAAAAACAAAAGCCAACTCAAGACCCAACTATATGTTAACTATAAGGTGGTTCTAAAATTATAACGGACACCAAATAGCCAAAACAGTCTTGACAAAGAATAACAAAGTCTGCCTGACTTCAAAACTTACCACAAAGCAACAATAATCTAGGCAGTCTGGCACTGGAATAAAGATAAACATATATTATACATCAGTGGAATAGAAAAGAGAGTAGAGAAATAAACCCATGTGTTTATGATCAACTGATTTTCTACAAGGGTGCCATGACCATTTGATAGGGAAAGGATAGTCTTTTCAACAATTGCTATTGAGACAATTGGATACCTACATACAAAAGAATGAAGTTAGACACTTAATCATACCATATACAAAAAACAAAATGAGTCACAGGCCTAAATGTAAGGACTAAAATTATAAAACTCAGAAGGAAATATAGGAGTAAATTTTCATGACATTGGATTGACAAGGAATTCTCAGATTTAACACGAAAAGCACAAGCATGAAAAGAAAAACTAAATTGGACTTCATCACAACTGAAAACTTTTGTGTTTCATTTTGTGTTTGTTTTCATTTAAATGAAAATCAAGAAAATGAAAGGACAATCCACATAATAGGAGAATATTTACAAATCATATATCTAATAATGGAATTGTGTATAGAATATATGAAGAACTCTTATGACCGAATAATAAAAAGACAAATACCTCAATTTAAAAATGGACAAAGAATCTAAATAGACATTTCTCCAAAGAAGATACAAAAATGGGCAATAAGCACATGAAAAGATGCTTTATTATTACTGCTCATTAGGGAAATGCATATCAAAACCACAATGAGATACCACTTCTTACACACTAAAATGTCTAGAATCAAAAAGTCAGATAATAAGTATTAGCAAGGATGTGGAGAAATCATAACCCTCATACACTGCTGATGGGAATGTAAAATGGTGCAGCCACTTTGGAAAACACTCTGGTAATTCCACCAAACAGTTAAACATAAAGTTATCGTATGACCCAGCAATTCCTGTCCTAGGTATAACCAAGAGAAATAAAGACATATGTCCATATAAAAACTTATACATGATTGTTTATAGCAGTATTATGCATGATAGCCAAAATGTAGAAAGAATGCAAATATCCATTAACTGATGAATGGATAAGCAAAATGTGGTATAGCCATACAATGGAATATTACTTAGCCGTGAGAAGGAATGAAAGAAACTTGAAAACATTATGGTAAGTGAAAGAAGTCACAAAAGACCACATGATATATAATTCCATTTATATGAAGTGTCCAAAATAGGAAAATTCATAGAGACATATAGTAGATTAGTGGTTGCTTAGGGCCAGGAGGATTTGGGGATAATGAGGGAAAAGGATATGATAGCTAAAGGGCATGGGATTTCTTATTTGAGATGATGAAAATGTTTTCAAATTGACCATGGTGATGGTTGCACATATGTGTGATTGTACTAAAAACTATTCAACTGTATAAATAAGTGACATGTATGGGATGACAATTATATCTCAATAAATGTTTTTCTAAAGTAGAATTTTGACGTCCAGTATAGCAGATTAAGGAGCTCAGCAAATTCTCTTCTCAAAAATTTAAGAACAACATTGTGAAAAATTGACCAAACAGCAATTTTAGGACTCTCTAAATTGACCAGCAGGATATAACAAATTAGTAGCAGTTATTCATGAAAAACCACTGCAGTCTGTATAAGAACAGGGGGAGTCTGGCATCCTTGCCTGGAGCTGCCTCCAACATCCTTCCCTCCTTTAGCTCAAATAGCATGGTAGTTCTAGCAGAGTAGGGCAAGCTGTGAAGACCAACAGCTTTGCTGCTGGAGTGGGCTCACTTGACTTGGAGAGGCATGCAGTAAAATCTCACAAACAGTAATAACAGTAAAGATCTCAGAACTGTGAGAGAATAAATCTGTTGTTTCAAGCCACCCAGTTTGTGGTACTTCATTGCAGCAGCCTTAGAAAAGTAATACAGTATGCAATAAATGTGAATGGATGAAACACTCCAATCAAAAGGCAGAGATTATCAGACTGGATTAAAAAAAACAACAACCAAGGCCCAACTATATATTATCTGTAAGAGAAACACTTAAGATTCAAATACACATATAAGTTGAAAGAAAAAAGAGAGAAGATATGGTTATATACCATAAAAGCAGTAACCATAAGAATAGCAGCTAGAGTGGCTATACCAATATCTGACAAAATAGACTTTAAGACAAAAAAATTTTCTAGAGAAAAATAAGGCTATTTCATAATGATAAAAGAGTTGATTCATTGGGAAGATATAAAAATTACAAATGAGCAATGGATAAATTGACAGAGGCAGGCAGTTGGTGGTAGGAGGAAGCAGCAGAAATGAGGGAGAGTAGCTGAACCCATTGATGTCACATGTAGATCCACAGATTCACTGCCCAGGGCAGGGGGAGCCTGGGCTAGATCTTGCTGAGAGTTATTCTTTACAGGATCTAGATTTTAGTCTTATTCCTTGGTCTCCATTCCCCCCTTACACACTTGCAGTATTCCCCCCACCCCTAGCTTGCCTGGGGTTTCCCAAAGATGAGCAGAGCAGGGACAATGGATATTGTCCCCCAATATCCATTCTCTCCCAATATCCATTCTCCCTTTCAGACAAAAACTACATTTTCCAGGCTCCTTTTCTGTTAGATGTAGCCATGTTACCAAGTGGTCTGGGAAGAGGCAGGTCTTCTCAGACCCCTTTCACTTGAATGTGATATGTGGGGAGCCATCTTAGACATGTGTTTGAAGGACACACCCAAGGCTGATGGCACCAGAATTCAAAGGAGAAATGGAAAACTCAACAATATTAGTTGGAGGCTTCCATATTCCGTTCTCAATAATTAGTAGAACAACTAAACAGAAAATCAGCAAGAATATAGAAGACTTGAAACTGCTATCAACCAACTTGATCTAACTGACATTTATACAACACTCTACCCAACAATAGCAGAATCCATATTCTTTTTGAACATCCGTGATCCATGGATGATTCGTGGATGATCCATGGATCATTCTCCAGGATAAAACACACATAAGACAATAAAACAAATCTCAGTGCATTTAAAAGTATTGAAATCACACAAAGTATGTTCTCTGGCCACAATGGAGAATGGAGTTAAGTTAGAAATCAATAGTTGAAGGAAATTTGTCCCATGGGACAAGGAAGAAATCAAAGGAAAATTGGAATATTTTGGATTGAAGGAAAACAAAAACAGAACATGGAAATACAGCTAAAGCGGGTCCTAGAGGAGTATTTATCTAGAGGGAAATTTTTACCTTTAAACCCCTTTATTAGAAAAGAAGGTACATCTCAGATTGATAGCTTACAATTTTACCTTAAGAAGCTAGGAAAAAAATAGAGTAAACTAAACCCAAAATAAGCAGAAGGAAGGGAATAATAAAGATCAGTGTGGAAATCAATGAAATAGAAAACAGAACAATAGAGAAAGTCAATGAAACAAATGAAAACATGAACAAAATTAACAAACTTTTGTCCACATTGACCACACAGAAAGAGAAAAGACATAAATTACCATCATTCCTAAACTGGGCCAGGACTAGGATGAGGCAAGCAAGGGCCTTTGAGTGCAAAATTTAAGGAGGCACTCACTCTTGGGGTCATGCAAATGCAGGGTCAGCCCCCGGGAGTGAGTACCTCCTTAAATTTGGACCCTAGGCATCATCCTTGGCTCACCCTCACAGGGGTTCTGTTACAGAGATCCTACAGAAATAAAAAGGATTACAGTAGAGTGCCACAAACAACTTTATGCCAACAAATTAGATGACATCCTAGAAAGACACAAGAAAGAAAACTGGCTCAATAAGATATAGGAAGTCTGAATAGATTTACAAGTAAAGAAATTGAATTAATTAAAATCTTATCACAAAGAATAGTCTGGGTCCAGATGGCTTT